CCGGCCCAAAAAAATGGTCGTTTTTTGAAGCAACTGATAACTGGTGATAAGAAGTAGATTGTTTACTACAATGTGATGCGTAAATGACCTTGGTCCCAACGTGATGATTCGCTTCAAACGACATTGAAAGCAGACATCAGAGGAAGGTTATGCTCTCATTGTGATGAGATTTTAAAGATGTCTTGTTTTTCGAGCTCCTACCAAGGAACTAAACAATTTGAATGTGTACTGTCGGCAGTTGAACAGTTTGAACGAATCCATCATCCAAAAATGTCCAGAGCTTGTTAATTGTAAAGGCGTTGTGTTCCATCGTGACAACATGAGACCACACATAAGTTTGATCACCTGTCAAAAATGATCGGAGCTTGGATGGGATGTGTTGCCCCACCCACCATACTCGCCTGACCTTACGCCATCAGACTTCCACTTGTTTCGCTCTTCAAAACTTGTGTGGTACAGCGTTCAATTCAGATGCTGCTGTAAAACAGCACCTTGTTGAGTTTTTCGCAAATAAAGACAGGTCCTATGAACGAGGAATTATGAAGCTCACTGAAAGATGGCAAAAGGTTATCGAACAAAATGGGCAATATATCATTGATTGATCTTTGTTCTTTATATAAATAAATATCCTTTGAAAAACAGACAAAATACATCATGACTTTTCCAACAACCCAATAAGTATGAAAGCTGATAAGGTACTAAAACCAAATTTTATTCCATACCCACAGAGAAAACATTTCAGAGATTCACAAGATCTTATGACCTCCCCCTCACAAAGTGCTTGCACTTTGCAGAGGAAACATTACAGCCCTTCTATCTCATTGGAAATGAGGAATATTAAGATTATAATAAAAAAAAGCATAGTATGTCTTACGGTGCTACACCCAACATAATAGCCTTCATCCCATGAGTGGGTACTGTTCCAAAGAAGGGAGCCCCCACATCTCGAGACAGGTACAATCATCCAGAACTTAGCTTCAGCAACTTGTAGTTGGAGGCAGGATAAGAAGTACTGACATCTTGCTCCTCCCAGGAAGTCTTGGAGAGGCAATCCTGTTTCCTTGGTTGCTGAAGTCTAGATTGGCGTTTCCATCTTGCTGAGTTGGAGGAGGGAAATAGGGAGTGAATCTTGGTTCAAATTCCAGAGATTTTTGCTGTTACTGATTTTTAGTGGATTTTTTTTTTAAATAAATGTTTCTTTGCATTATGCTCTTAGTAACATTTACAGAGACTGGTTGTTTTTTAAAATAATTTTCTTTGGTTTTTTTAGGGAGCCATTCCATGGAACTTCTCATGCTGTTATGCCAAAAATGGACCCCCTTATTTTGAATATATGGAGTTATGTCACCTCATTCGTTTCTGATACTGGTGTTATCAAAGAACCAGATTTAGGTTTTATTGATTTATGCTATATTCTATTTAATTGATATATGTATGCCCTGCTCTCTATTTTTCTGCTTTTTAATTTTTTCCAATTTTTTAATTTTCTCTTTTTAGTTTATTAAGATAGAAACTTAGGTCATTGATTCTAGTTATTTGTTTTTTAAAATAAGCATTTAAAGCTATAGATTTTTTCTCTAAGCTCTCTTTAGCTATAGCCACACATTTTGATATATTGTATATTATTATTTAGTTAAAAAAACAAGTATTTTCTAATCCCTTGTGATTACTTTTCAACCGATTATTTAGTTTTTACAGTGCTGTTTAATGTTTATTTCCTAGATGTTTTGTTATTGATATCTAATTCAGTTCTCTTTTAATCAAAGAATATTCTCTGTAAAATTTCAGTCTTTTTAAAATTTATTGAGAGTTGCTTCATGGCCCAGTTTATGGTCTATTCTGGTGAATGTTCCATGTGCACTTGACAGGAGTTTATATCCTGTAGTCATTAGGTGGGATATTTTATAATTACCTATTAGATCAAGGTAGTTAGTTGATAATGTTCAGATATTCTATATGGCTATATTGATTTTTGCATAGTTTTATTGATTACAAATAGAGAGGCATTAAAATCTTCAACTGATTGTAGAATTGCTTTTTTTTAAATTCTGTTAACTTTTGCTTCATATATTTTGATGCTGTTTTTGGGTGCACACACAGATGATTACTGTATTTTCCTGGTGAATTGGCCCTCTTATAATTGTGAAATGTCCGTTTTGCTGATAATACTCATTGTCTTGAAATCCATTCTTTGATATTAATATAACCATTTCATCTTTAAGAATATATATATTGCTCTATTGGTACATCTTTTCTATTCATTCATAGTCAACTTGAATCTGTCTTTATATTTTAAGTGTATCTCTTATAAGTAGAATATAATAAAGCTTGTTTTTTCTATTCTGGCAATACCTACATTTTAATTAGAATGTTTAGATCATTTAATGTGATTATTGATATGATTGGGTTAAGATCTACCATTTTATTGTTTGTGTATTATTTTTCCCTTCAATTGTTTCTGTATTCTTTATTTTGGATTATTTTAATATTTTTAGAAATTGGTTTAAATTTTTCTACTAAGTTTTTTGCACTTTTTTTTTAGAGGTTGCTCTAGTGATTGCAACATATATCTTTAGCTTTTCAAAATTTTCTTACACTTAATATTGTACCAATTTTGGGCCGGCCAAGTGGCTCAGTTGGTTAAGAGCTCGCTCAAGAGTTTGAGCTCTGAGCAACAGCCGTTTGATTCCCGGCCCAAGCTGAGCAGCCGATAGATGGCAGGATGGCTCAGCTAAAAAATAAAAAAAAAAAAAAAAAAAAAAGAGTTAAGGGTAAGACAGTTTGTCCCTCATTTTACACACTTATCAAGATCAGTCCCATAATTTTATTTTCTGACATATTTTTAATAGAAAAATATACCATACCAACACAATTGTTAATGGTCATTTAGTTCCTATATGGTTCTAGGAACTATATATCAAGGATGGCATAAGGACAAGATTTTTTATTTGTTTTGTGTGTTGTCTTGTTTTAGTATAAGGGAATGTAAAAGTACAATGTATTAGTTTATTTGTCAAATGATGCTGTAGCAGAAGACTTTGTAAATTCTGAAAAATATGACAGTGCTATCCCTAGATTTCCAGAAGGTGGTACTATTGCTACATACAGAAAGACAATTTGTGACCAACAAAACAGCTATTTCAACTTTTACAATTTTGATCAGATTGGATTTTCAGTAGCATTTTCTAAAGTGTATTCTAAAGTGTAGTAATTTCTTTTATATAACTGAGTCAACATAACACGAGTTCTTAGTGGGTTAAATAAAGTTAAGCAGGTTACACAAGACATCTTAGAGCCTTTACTATGCTGATACAACGTGAATCAAAGAAGATCCTTTACTGTGGGGCATTTCTCAAACTTAATCCCTTTTCACAGAATATATTTAAAGATTATATATAATCCTAAGAAATTTATTTCATTGGGTTTTCTAGTTTACTTGCATAGATATTTGTAAGGTACTATCTTATGATTTTTAAATCCTTTTTCAATGTTAAATTTCTCTATCATTTCTTATTTTGTATTTGTATGCTTTCTCCTTTTTTCCCTCTTAACTAGATTGGCTAGTATTTTGTCTATATTATTGCTTATTTTTTTCAAGAACTAGTGTTTTGATTTATTTAGTATTTTTCTCTTCTCATTTGCACCTCATTAATGTGTGCTGTTATTTTTGTTTTTCTACTTTCCTTACGTTTATTTAGTGTATTTTTTCTAGCTTTGTTGGGAATTTATTTTTATTTTATTCATGTAAGTATTTAAGGGTTTGAATTTTCTTCTGATCACTGCTTATATTGTATTCCATAGTTTCATTAATGTAATGTTTTTATTATGATAAATCTTTAGAAATTCTGAAAATTTTACCCTCTTTTCCAAAGAATTGTTTAATAGAAGATTTTAACTTTTCCATTGAAGGGTATTTTGCTTTTTGTTTTTAATTAATTTTTAAGTGTTGATTTTTAATCAGAGAATGTGGTGTTTATTTTACTTTATGGAACTTACAAAGGTTTTGTGGTGCTCTCATAGATGGTCAAATTTATTGAATGTTTTATGTACAACTTGAGAGGAAGGTATTCTCTTTTTGTTATGTGTCAGTAATATTTACCTTATTAATTATATTATTTAGGTTGTATATGTATTTACTTATTTTTTTCTTTTGATTTGCTTTTGAGTGAAAGTGAAGTATTAAAGTCCCATTATTACTGTATTTCTGTCTATTTCTCCTTGTATTTTCTGTAATTTATGCTTTATTAAGGAAGTTATGCATTACTTGGTGAATATGTATTCATAGCCATTACTTCTTCACTGTGAATGGCCTCCGTTAGCATATGTAGTAAACTCTTTGGCTTATTTAATATTTTTAAGCCTAAAGTCTCCCTTATGGAATATCTGGATTTTAAAATTTTACTTGCATTTACCTGGTCTAGATTTTCTGAATTAGTTTGTTTTAAATGGGTCTGTTTATTTAACAGTTGTGTTTTTTTAGCAGTTGGGTTTTGCTACATGAGCCAGTCTGAAAATATTTTTTATTTAATAGATCAGTTAAGTCCACTTTTATTTATTGATATGATTATTACATACTATTTTAAGTAATACTGTGTATTATATATTGTATTTCTTTTTTATGTTTATATTTTTATCTTATCTCTATCTTAATATTTAATAATACATGTTAAATATATATAAAATATGTATTTTATATATTGTGTTTATAGTTTTGTTCTTTTTGTTATCTTTGTACTAATACCTTCATTAATGCTCATCTTTTTACTTAGACTTTTTTCCTGTCATCCCTGTCACTTTCTTGCTGATCCTTTCTACCTCTCTTTATTTTATTTTCATTATTTTGTCACTTTTAATTTTTGCATATGTTCCTTATTATATTCTCAGTCTAAGCTGTCCTTCCTTGGATGTCATCTAATTTATTGTTTATTTCAGAGATGATTTTTTTCTTTATCTTCAATTTTGTTCCTGAGTACAATCAACTCTCATTTCACATCTTCCTGTTTTTATGTTCATTTTTACTTTGAAGTTTTAAATATATTTCTTGAGATTTTTTTTACACCTGCAAATAATTGTTTATGGATATTTAATTTAGATTGCCATATTTTGTTACAGATTTTTCCTTCTTTGTGGTTTTTTTAGGAATCATTTTCATCATCTGAAATGTTTGCTTTTTATTTTTTGTTTTATATTAAAATAGCTTTAGTATGTGTGTTGTCTTTTATTTTTTGTTAATTTTGTAATATTCTTATATTTTCCTAGGCCAGCACTAGCAGTTGTATGTAGAAAAGGATGTTTGGTGGCCTATTGGATTTCTTAGCTCAGGAGTGCCCTCTTCTGCTGGTATGGTGAAGTGCAGATTTTTTTTAATGCCTACATTAGTTGGAGCTGCAGAGGAGAGAGGATAATAATGTCTTCTGATGCGATATTCATTTGTTACTGAAGAACATTTGATTTCTACCACTTTTTCCTTCATCCCCCTCACCCTCCAAATCCCTGGAATCCTTCTTCTTCAAAGCCATTCTCTCTTCTGCATCTTTCCCACTCTTCCAGAGAAGGGGTACAATTTCCAACTTTGTATATACTTTCAAGGCCCTCTGTCTCAATTCCCCATAGCCAGAACTCTGAATATTCAGGTATAAGATTTATTCTCAGCATTTCTGCCTTAAGGGTGGGACGCTGTCTTTTGGAAAATGATTATATTTGTATTCCACACCTCAAGTGTCCACTTGCTGCTCTATAGAGGGCTCCAGGAGTGGCCCTGCTGGTTTCTAAATATTTATTTTCCTGATTACATGAAAATTGAAGTCTTATTCTGTTTTAGTCCTGCTGCAGGCATGAGTTACTGCTGGTTTTATTCATTCTCTCTGATCTGTATTGTATGCAGAAGAGGTATGGATTGCAATTTAGGTGGCACCGTTATTGGTGGGAATTCCAAAATCAGATAATTTAACTTTGAAAAAATGTAATTGTTAAACAGGTCTTCCTTTTTTTGAGCTGCAATTTCCTTCCTTATAATTTCCACATGTCAATTCTAGTTGTGCCTCCTGAGACAACAGAGAGTAAATCAAATTTCTCTTTTGTGTTCTAGCAAAAGCTGTTTCCCAGCCCATACAATCTTCTTTTCTCTGTAATAATCATCCATCAATCCTCAGGTGGTGGAGCTTCAGGTCATCCTGCCTTCCATCTCATCTCTTTATCAAAGGTGCTAACTTCACAGGTTCATAGATTTCTATACTGTATTTACCAATATAACTTGAGGACATTATTACCATTGGAAGAAGCTAACAATAGCGCTTCAAAAGTTCATCCTTAGAACAATTACTTTATTCATCCAAATACAATAACTTATGTAAAGAAAACTGAAAATGGGAACAAATCATGTTTTTATATTTTGCTTTCAACAAAGGACAGTCGTCAATTGGCTTATCCACAAACAACAAGTATCTGCTCTGACTAGGAGAACAGTTAATGTGTCTAAATATTTCTAACCAAATGTAGCAAATAAAATGTAGAATAGCCTGAATAAATATGAATACTTATGAATTTCTTAATTAGTAGTCTAGTGCCGCAAAGTGAATGCTAATGAAATAAGAGTACTGCTTTGATTGTTCTCATTTATGTGGCACCAACAAGGTTACGCCTTTTTGTGTTACAATGCAAGCAAATCCTAAGTTTGCAAAAAAAGTTCAACATGGAGCACAGTCTACTTAGAGGGTTCAAGTAGGATGATGATAGAAGAATGTGGGGAAATTGGATGGGGCAGTGAAAGGTGAGATAGTAGAGTGAGCCTAAGATTGGTAAGAATTTTCTTATTGACTTTGGTGGCTGTTGATGAAAACCAAAAATGGGACTGAATGATGCTAAATGATGCATTTTCATTATGTGACTTCCCTACCTCCACTTCCATGTGATCTAATACCTTTATTAAAGAGCACAGAAATAAACCCAAATATTTGGGAACAGAATAAAATATAAACTTAAGCCTAGAGGATAAAGTATAAGCAAATATATATATAGAGAGAGAACTAGTTTTGGACTAGGCACAAAATAGTGACAAAAATATACGTATATAGCAGGCCAGCCAAGTGGCTCAGTTGGTTAAGAGCTCGCTCAAGAGTTTGAGCGCTGAGCGACAGCGGTTCAATTCCCGGCCCGAGCTGAGCAGCTGCTGAGCTGCCAACAGGTGGCAGGATGCCTCAGCTTAAAAAAAAAATATATATATATATATATATATATATCTGTATATAGATACATATGTATATCTATATACAGATAGGTACCTATATATAGATAGGTATATATCTATGTATAGGTATATCTGTATATATTGGGTTGTCAGA